AGGCCGCAAATGGAGATTTTCTTTACGTGTCAGAGAAATGAGACATTTGCCACTTTGATGACTCCAGTGAAATGAGAACTGAAGTCTAACACAAACAAACTCATTTTTTCCTGTTTTGTTTAAACTTTAAATACAGGAGAGCAGATCTGCACCGAAACGTGTTTTTCCTGTAGTAATTTCATCCATTGTGGCAGTTGTAGTCAAATGGGCAGCTTCATCTATCATCCGCGGTGACAGTTTGATCCATCGTGGCAGTTTCATTCATTGTGGCAGCTTCAACTATCAAAAACTTCCAGCCAGCGTGGCAGTTTCAGCTACCATGGCAGATTCAGCCAGTGTGGCAGTTTCAGCTACCATGGCAGATTCAGCCAGCGTGGCAGTTTCAGCTACCATGGCAGATTCAGCCAGCGTGGAGGTTTCAGTCATTGTGTAAATATCAGACCACGTGGCAATTTCAGGCCCCATGGTGGTTTCAGTGGTTTTGGACTTCATTCCTCCGGTCTTTTCCTACACCTCTAATTCACACAACTCGTTTTCTCTAGAATACAGAACTGCAACAAAAAGGATAATAATAGTCATATAATGTATTAATACTTGTTTAAATAAAATAATAATAATGAAATTAACAAAAACATATATATATATATTATAACTAATATATTCCCTTAAATAAATGAAGCAATAAGATCTCTCTGAACTTTACATATAAGAAAAAACTTCTATTTTCATTTTGTGATAAAGTATGACACTTTTTTTTATAAACCTCTACTCCAGATGAAGGATGATTCAGCTAAGGTTTATAGAGATGTATCTTTGAATCTAATTTTGTTACATCTGTGTCCAGGGCCAGATTAAGAGCCCAGTGGGCCTGGTGCTGACAATTATGACGGGCCTAATTACAGAATCATATCGACCAAAAACAGTAAAACACTCCCAAGCCTCGTGTATCTGATGGAGATGGTGCTGGAGAGATAGAAAACAGCAACTATAAGAAAACACATACCCCAGGCTTATCTCTCTCTAATTTATGTTTTCATCTTTCAAGTAAATCCATAACCCCTAACAGCAGTGTCCAGACAAGCAGGAAGTCAATGGGCACGGTAAAAGGGTGTGCCACTGACACAAATCACGTAACCTGCCTAAAGGGGCGAACATGCCCAAAAAGAGGACATGTCTGCCCAAAGAATTAGAAGGCCAGCCTGGCATGAATGCATGTCAGGCTGCCTGCCAATCATGCAGCTGGCCAACTAAGGGTATACTATGCAGACAGCACCCTGAGCTTGGCATAAATGCATCTAATGATGCGCTCACTCAACGCTTTCTAAGGACTGTCCCCTAGCACTCGCTGGTCCACTTGTCTCCTTTCCTTCTTACTAGCAGGCAGACGCTCCTGGTATATAGTCTGGGACAGAGAAAAGCTGCATGTAGTGAGTGTAGAAGAAAGGGAACATGCCACAGTGTTAGAGAGACCAAAGTCAGAATTACCTTAAAGGACCACTCTAGGCACCCAGACCACTTCAGCTTAATGAAGTGGTCTGGGTGCCAGGTCCAGCTAGGGTTAACCCATTTTTTTATAAACATAGCAGTTTCAGAGAAACTGCTATGTTTATGAATGGGTTAAGCCTTCCCCAAAGCCTCTAGCGGCTGTCTCATTGACAGCCGCTAGAGGCGCTTGCGTGATTCTCACTGTGAAAATCACAGTGAGAGCATGCAAGCGTCCATAGGAAAGCATTGATAATGCTTTCCTATGCGACCGGCTGAATGCGCGCGCAGCTCTTGCCGCGCGTGCGCATTCAGCTGACGGGGCGGAACGGAGGAGGATCGGAGGCAGAGAGCTCCCCGCCCAGCGCTGGGAAAAGGTACGTTTTTCCCCTTTCCAGAGCCGGGCGGGAGGGGAACCCTGAGGGTGGGGGCACCCTCAGGGCACTACTGTGCCAGGAAAACGAGTATGTTTTCCTGGCACTATAGTGGTCCTTTAAAGGATCACTATAGGGTCAGGAACACAGACATGAATTCATGACCCTACAGTGTTAACACCACCATCTAGCCCCCCCTGGGCCCCTCATGCCTCCATAAATATAACAAAATCTTACTATATTCAAGCCTGAATCTGTAACTCTGCATGCTGTTAGACTCATAAAAACAAGCAGTCTGCTGACATCATTAGAGGTGGTGACTTAATCCAATCACAATGCTTCCCCATAGGATTGGCTGAGTCTGACAAAGAAGCAGATCAGGGGCAGAGCCAGCAAGGTTCAAACACAGCCCTGGCCAATCAGCATCTCCTCATAGACATGAATTGAATCAATGAATCTCTATGAGGAAAGTTCAGTGTCTGCATGCAGAGGGAGGAGATACTGAATGTTTGGATGCATTTTAGGCAGCCATGACCCAGGAAGAATCTCTAACAGCCATCTGAGGAGTGGCCAGTGAAGTTATCACTAGGCTGTAATGTAAACACTGCATTTTCTCTGAAAAGACAGTGTTTACAGCAAAAAGCCTGAAGGTAATGATTCTACTCACCAGAACAAATTCAATAAGCTGTAGTTGTTCTGGTGACTATAGTGTCCCTTTAACTATATTCATTGTCAGCCAGTCCACACAAGTTTTGTTCCCATACATCCCTCCTAAGTTTCCATACTTAAGTAAGAGTATGTGAAAAGTAGTTAGGGTTGCCACCTTTCTTGGAAAAACAATTTGCATAATTAAAAATGTATGGGTGACATCACATGATGTAAATCACAAGGAGTGACATAAGAGAAAATGCTGTAAAATCACCAAAAAACTACTTAGTTTGACTCTGCTGTATAGATGGATTCCTCCCAGTGCCCCCATGTCTCCCAGTGCCCTCATGACTCAGTGCCCCCATGTGTCGATTACTCCAGGTCTCAGTGTTCCTATAAATCAGTGTCTCAGTGCCCCATGTCTCCCAGTGTCCCCTAATGTCGTGTCCCCAGGTCTCCTATGTATCACAGTGTCTCAATGCCCCATGTCGCCCCATGTATTCCAGGGTCCCCATGTCACTAGGACACTAGGAAGACGGGGAGACCTAGGGACACGGAGACACCAGTGACACTGGGAGACTAGGGGACTCTGGCTGGGACTCATGGGGACAATGGGAAAATAGGGGACACTTGAAGACATGGGGACACAGACATCATGGACACAGACACTAGAGACACTGGTTGAGGGACATGGGGACATTGAGACATGGGGGCACTGGGAGACATGGGGACACTGAGACACCAGGGCCACAGACACTAGGGACACTAGCTTGGCGACATGGGGACACTTGAGGCACCGAGAGACATGGAGACACTAGGAGACATGGGGACAGTGAGATACTGGCAGACTGGGGGCACTGGGAGATTAGGGGTCACTGGGAGACTAGGGGCACTGAGACACCAGGGACACTGGCTGGGAGACATGGGGACACTGTGTCCCCATGTGTCTGTGTCATAATGTCTCCCAGTGTCCCTTAGTGTCCCAGTGTATGTCTCCTTGCAGCCTTTCCCCCCATCCCTTACTGCCCTGAGCTGTAGGCTGTCTCTGCAGGGTGGGAATTGCTGCCTGGACTCTCTGTAACTGCACCCCTGCAGATCAGTTAGTATAGATAGGCAGGGAGGGATATGCTGGAACTTCCTATCCCTGCCTGTCTCCACATATAGCGACCCCTACTGGCCAGTGCTGGTATTGCAGAGTAATCTCTTGTTTATACTGAGAAAAATACCAGCATTTGTATTGCCAGTATCACTGCAATATTGGCACCAGCCAGTCAGCCTCAAATACTGGCTGTGCCAATAAAATAAAAGCCAGGTGGAATCCCTAAGAGTAGTGTGTGAAAAAAAAATAAAATAAAAAAAAATAAAATAAAAAAAATATTTAAAAAAAAATTTTTTTTAAATCAATGGGCCTATTCCATGGGCCTGGGCCTGGGCCTGGAGCTGCAGCTCCATCAGCCCCTATGTTAATCTGGCCCTGTCTGTGTCAAAGTGTCAATGGCAGAAACAGCCTCGCTTACGATGAACTATTCAAGGTCATCAATGTGGGATAACTTTCCAGCCACCATAACCACTACAGCTTGTAAAGATATTTATCATGTAATAAAAGCTATGGTCACAGGCTGCTCTGCTTTAATTAACCTGTATGATGCAGAACCGCAAGATTCTTTTGTAGCCAATCGTCTGGTTGGAAAGTGATAAAAATAAGTGTTTCACTTTTTTCAAAATAATTGTAGTGGACACGATCTGTCTGTGCATTGACTCTTTCAGTGCCACTGAATTGCTGTTATCGGTTTTGGAAGCAGATCCTATGTGGTTCTACGTGAGCCTGTGTCTCACGAGGTCGGAATCCTGATTACTTCTTACAATTATTTTGGATGGGTAAGGAGGAAATGAAAGCAGTCGGTGGGGTCTTGGTGCTGCTGAGCCTCGTTTTTTCTCTCTAGCCACTCCATATTGTTTGGAAAAAACAGAGGGACTGTCCCAAGCTTATTTGGACCATGACTACTTCAAAAAAGATGCAGTGTTACAGTAAGCTGTAGTGGTTGTGGTACTGAAGAGTCCTTTTAATTTTTGAAGGTATGCCTAAACCAAATGACATGGTGTTAAATGGAAGGGTGACTTTGGGACTCTGAAAGGAATTTCATACATGGCTCACATAACATATTTGGGAGAATTGCAATCTGAACATTTACAATACATTTAACATTTTACGCCAAATATCCAAGCTAGGAGCATTTTAATCAACTTTGCTTTCAGTTCACATTAAATTGAAGGTCACTTTGAATTCCCATCCGTGCACGCCTTATTTTAATATCATTATCATATCAACACAAAGAATGTCTTCCTTTCGGGGGGCGTGTCTTGGCCACCATCTTAGATGGCCACGTTATAGAGAGGCTCCTGGACAAGGGGGACAATTTTGTTCCTAAAGCGACAATTTTAATTTGAATGGACCGATTTTGATTGAAAATACTAAAAGTAAATTCAGCACTGAACATGCAGAGGCAAAAGAAAAATGAAAAATCCGTTCCTGGGACGAAGAAAATGGAAGCAGGAGCGGCTGGGGTGAGCAAGGGTTCCCAGGCTCGCTCCCCTGCTTCCAGATCCGCCTCGCGGCTTGTTTCGCCGCTTAAACTATCGTTGGTGGCGTCGGGGAAATCCCTCCCTACCTCCCTCCCGGTCTCCCGCCCGAAAACTTATGCTTGTGCGGCCGCGACCCGTCCGCAGCTTCCTGAGGGCGGCGGGACCGCGACCGCACTAGCCGGCACTCCTGTGTGCGGCTCAGAGTGCTCCGAGCACTCGGCATGCTCGGAGCACAGCGCTGTGTCTCCCGCGAGCGGCAAGGACCTCCCTGCAAGCCGCTCGCGGTCTCACTCCAGAGCAGCCCGGTCGCTCACTTACAAAAGCGACCGGGTTGCAAGTAAAGGGGAGGGCAGTGCGAGGTCACGCTCCCCGTCGGGATCCTCAGCCTCCAGGCTGTCGGTCCCGGCGGGGGGGGCCTCTGCTGTCCGACCCAAAATATTTAAAGGGGCAGCAAGGGCTACAGTAAGCCCAGATGAAAATCCTATGGAAATAGGGGCTGAAGTGCTCCAAAAAAGTGCCTTCTCTGCACTACCACAGAGAACACGTTATGTTGCCACAACAAAGATGGCTGACAGTCCAGATACTGTATATTCCACTTCCAAGATGGCCGCTGCCACCTCCAATATGGCTACTACCACATTTAAAGCTGCGACCTATAATCCTAATATGCCACCTGAATAGGCAGCAGACCTGCCACCGTCAGCTGGCATGATAATTCAACTTATCAAAGATTTGAGAGTTGATTTGAAAAATGACTTTAAAAATGACTTTGACACATTATATGGAGCCATGGAGGACATTAATCAGCGTACGGAAATAATAGAGAATAAATTGCACTCTCAAGAGCAATCTCATCTGGATCTGGTTGAAACCGTAAAAGAGCTCCAAAAGCAAGTGCACCAACAAGCAGAAAAGCTTGCCGACGCTGAAGATAGAAGTAAGCGTAATAACCTAAGGATCAGGGGGATCCCTGATAATATCGACTCCCAGGAATTACAAAGCTATTTCCAGACAATGGTGAAGTCAGCTCTACCAAACGTTAAAAATACGGATTTATTACTGGATCGCATCCATAGATTGCCCAAACCCGGCAATGCTCCTCCAGCTGCACCCAAAGACGTGATAGTGAGATTCCACTACTATCACATTAAAGAAGAATTTCTAGGTGCAGTACGCATGTCAGGTCTCACAGGAGATTACAGCAGCATGAAGGTCTTTCAAGACTTTTCTGCTCAAACAATGAAGCGACGCAGGGAATTTCAACTTTTTACTGCGGAGCTAAGACGAAGAGGGATAAGATATAGATGGGGATTCCCGGTTAAAGTCCTTTTCCGTATGGATGGTCGGAATTTTATAGTCACGTCGCCTGAAGAAGGAATGGAACTCATCAATACTATGAATGGACGTCAGGTTTCGCCTCATAGACTCTCGCCATCTACTCCTGTTCAGGCCAGCAAGAGAAGCAAATCGGACACTTCCTGAGATCCCAGCCCAAAGAGACATAGTCTTCCTTTTCTATGGTCATCATCGAGTCCTGCTCCAGTCCGGCGATTTATCGGGATTACTTTGAATTTTGATATGTTTCTCCTTTTTATGACAGACTTCTGAGTTCTTCCACTAACGGTTATTTGTCCTGTGCCTTTTTGGTTTATTTTAGAAACCGATCCTTCTATTTAAAACTTTCTAAACTTATACAATCAAAATATTTTTTATTTAATTTTTTTTTAATATAATTTCATATTTATTTAATTTTATAATTATTTTAATTTTTTTTTTTTTTTATTGTTCTGTGCTTTTTACCTTTTCAATTGTCATACTTAAAAAGTTGCTTTTTGTTATTTACTACCTATATTGGCTCCCCCTGCACCCGGTAGCCTTCTCTCCCCCCAACCTGGGCCTAACACCCTGAGATGGAGAAACTTTTTTTGTTCTCCCTCATGGCCCTCTTTCACTGTTTTTGTTTTACCCCTGATAGCGGTATATATCCAAGTTTTTTGTTCCCCTTTTTTATTCTTTTATATTTTTTGTCCATTCATCATTTAAAGTTCAGTAGAAATGTTTTTAGACCACGAAACACTGCAATGCTTCATACAAAAATGCATACTACGTGGCATCAGCAAATTGTAAATATCGGTTTACTCATTATTCCTGTACACACAAGTACACAGCTTGAGTTTGCTTTAATAGCTTTGCTGGACTTGCATGCTTCTCTCTTGGAAGGTGGTGGCTGGGACTCTCACAAGGTTGAATGTTCCTTTACCCTTTATCAGGTATTACTGTTCTATAAACCATGGTCTTAAAATATATGTCATTTAATGTGAGAGGCCTGAACACCGCCCACAAGAGACGATTATTATTCAAAGAAGCAAAATCCAACGAATCAGATGTGCTTTGTGTACAGGAAACACATTTTAAAGATGATAAAGACGATAAAATCATGTCAAAGCTTTTCCCAGTTCAATACCATTGCACTTATAAATCCAAGTCTAGAGGTACATCGATTTTTTTTCACAGGAATGTAGCATGCTTGACAAACAAAGTTATAACGGATGATGACGGGAGGTATTTAATATAGATAGGATCACTCAATACTATTGAATATACTATTGTGAACATGTATTTTCCAAACACCGGTCAGTTGCAGTTTTTTAGGAAATTGATGGACTTAGTGAATGAGAATGTGAGAGGCAACTTGGTAATGTGTGGTGACACGAATTTTGTGATGGATGGAGAGTTGGATAACGCTAGGGAAGACCGTGATCGACAGCTTAGAGGGGACAGTGACAGATTGGCGTATAAATGCTCCAGATATATGATTGAATGTGGCTTATACGATCCTTGGAGACTGTTGCATGAGAATGAAAGAGATTTTACGTATTATTCTGTCTCTAAAAATATGTATTCCAGGCTGGACCGGTTTATGGTCCAGGGTGCTTTAATTCCGCACATCTTAAAATCTGATATCTTAAACATCAACTGGTCCGACCATGCTCCAATCATAATGCATATTGACGAAATTGTTTCATCAGCCCCTAACAGAACTTGGAAACTAGGTGATTATTTGTTAAATGATGTTGTGAACAAGTCACTGACGGAGAAAGCTTTGTGTGATTATTTTTCGGAGAATGCCTCGTCCGAGGTTCCTGGCGAGGTGACTTGGAATGCGCATAAGGCTGTGTTAAGAGGTCATTTTATTTCTAGAGCGTCTTACCTGAAGAGAATTAATAGTAATAATTTAAGAACATTGGAAAAAGAACTGTATAATTTGAACCAAGCTAATAAATTTGGTCCATCGTCCTCCCTATCAGCAATGATAGGAGAAATTAAGGCTAAAATCAACAAAATTAATTTAGATCGTACATCTCTCATGGTGAGACGTCTCAGGAAAACATTTTACTTAAAAGGTAACAGGGCCTCAACTCTTTTGGCATCCAAACTCCGGCATGCGAATGCCCAATCAAAAATAGCATATTTACTTGATGATCGGGGGCAAAAAGTGTTTCATCCAACTAAAATTAGTGATATGTTCGCAGAGTATTATAGTAAACTTTATAATTTAGAATGTAATTTGGACCTCCCCCAGCCTTCTACAACAATAATTGATAAATTCTTAGACAGAGTGTCATTGCCCTCGGCTTTCTCCAGTACATTTAGAAAGCTTAGAATGTGAAATATCAGCAGCAGAGATAGCTGAGGCAATTAAACTTATGCCATCTGGAAAAGCCCCTGGTCCCGACGGATTAACTATTTTATATTATAAAACTTTTCCAGAAATTTTAATTCCCCATATGACTAAATTGTTCAATTCCTATAAGTCCGAGGGAAAGATGCCAGAGGAGTCCTTGTGCGCACGAATAGTCACTTTGCCAAAGCCAGGGAAAACTCCCGATAGATGCCCTAACTTTAGGCCCATTTCTCTGATTAATAATGACTCAAAGATTTATTCTAAAGTTCTCGCTAATAGATTAACTAAACTAATCCCATTGTTAATTAATAAAGATCAAGTAGGTTTTGTACAGAATAGACAGGCGCCAGATGGAACTAGAAGATTCATAAACTTGATTCAGCACATCAATATGACCAAAACGCCTTCTTTGCTTCTATCTCTTGACGCTGAAAAAGCGTTTGACAGGATACATTGGGGATATTTATGGAGATCATTAGATAGGTTCAACATACCATCATCATTTATCACAGCAATTAAGGCGTTATATTGTGCACCCTCCGCCCATGTCTCAGCTTCTGGCTTCACATCCAAAACTTTTTCCCTAACTAACGGGACGAGACAGGGGTGCCCTTTATCTCCAATTTTGTTTGTTTTAGCGATAGAACCCCTAGCAGAACTGATTAGGACAACCCCACAAATTGTAGGAATTGCGGTTAAAGAATCCGTTCACAAAATTGGTTTGTTTGCAGATGATATAATCCTAGCTATCAAAAACCCAAAAGAATCTTTGAGACACCTCAAGGATATTTTAACTCAATTCGGTGAGATATCGTATTACAAATTAAATGAGTCCAAAACTCAAGCCCTTCCGTTTCATTTAAACAACTTGGAAACCATTGCCCTTAAGAAATCATATTTATTTGATTGGAGAACTGAATATATGGAATATCTCGGCATTAATTTATGCAAAAATTTGGTCAATATGCACAATCACAACCTGAGGAAAGCATGGTCAGACCTACAAAAAGAGATGGAGAGATGGGGTGGGATGGAGCTCTCATGGCTGGGGAGGGTTGCATCTATTAAAATGACGATACTCCCCAAAATTTTATATTTTTTTAGGACCATTCCTCTGTCCATTCCATTATCATTTTTTAATAAAGTTCATTCGACAATGTTGAAATTTATATGGGGGAACAAGCCTGCCCGAGTGAGGCTCACTTCCCTGCAGCACCATAAATTGAACGGAGGTATCGGTGTCCCCGATATCCGCAAATATTATTTCGCCACTAATGCTGCAGTGGTTGTGAGCTTTAACAACCAGGATGATAAACCCAGATGGATGGAGATAGAGGAATCAAAAATTTCACCGGTTAGACTATCAGAATTACCTTGGTTAAATCCTAAGAAAAGACCTGGAATTACAAAATTATTTTTATCCACTAGGACTACGCTTAAGGCCTGGGACATTGTTTTTAAAAATGACCAGTCTCCCAGTTTATATAGAGCAATGCCTATTGAATTATTGAAAGATCATATACCATCCTTAAAAATAGAATTATTGAAGGATTGCTCTATAACTAATCTGGACAATTTTTTTTATGGCAATGCTATTCTTTCTTTGGAAAAATTGAAGCTTAAATATGGATTGTCGAATGCATGTGAACTGGAATGTATGATAATCATTGATAAATTGAAAGAACTATACCAGGTACCTGAAACCGATAAAAATTATAAATCACTTGAGATATCTCCTTTAGAGAAAGTTATTTTATACAGCCCTGCTAGTAAAGGTATGATATCCTTATGTTACTTATCTCATAATGCCAAGCCCTTAATTAAATTAAAACATATGCTGTCATGGGAGACGGAGTTGGGTGCCCAGTACGATTTAGAAGAATGGTTCGGTTTCTTTACAGGTTTAAAAGGTATTTCATATTGCACCGACCATTTTGAAAATCATTATAAAATCTTATATCGCTGGTACCTGGCCCCGTCTAGATTACATAACATG